ACTGAATCTATATACTTTTCCCCAGATTATGTTGTGGCACCATTTATTGAGTGCTCCTTCCTTTACATACCTATGAATACCAAATATATAATAAAAATTTGAGTATTCTTACCATCTCCCCTTCCTTATCTCAGAATGTGTATGCTGTCAAATCTTTTTATGTACACATTTACTCAAATATTTTTAAAAAATGTATTATACAAATATGTACCATGCATTTACTTGGCCTTGACAAAGGTAATACACATTGCTGTGTACCTTTCCTCACTTTATCATGGACCTCCATCCATCTCCACATACCTAGGCTCATGCCTTTTCATATCTACATCATTCTATAGATATAATTTAACCCCTCCCATATTAATGAACACTCAGGTTAGTTTCAATATTTCATTTCAAAAATGCTGTAATAGACATCAGTGTACAGATACGAGAGCATTAGGAAGTGGGAACTGTGCAAAGGATTTGCTGATTTATCTTTGGTACTATAAGAGGCAATTTGTAGAGAACCACTTTAATTTCCACCCCAGCAAAAAATGTGGAAGCTCCTTCACCCACACCTTCAGCAATACTAACTTTTTTAAAATAAAAATCTGTTTTTGGTGGGGGCTAATCCAGCAATATTTCAATTTATGTGATATTGAGCTTTTCATATATATTGTTATGTGAATATTTTTGTCCCCCTTTCTATTAGGTTGTTTTTTTATTCTTAATTACTGGTTTTTTTTGTATGTTGGAAATATTTTATCCAACTGTCAATGTGTCAACCTTTTCCTTTGTGAACTTTGGCATTTTTGTGATGCCTAGGAAAAATGCTCCCCCAAAAGTGGTCTAAAATAACTTATATCATTTCTTGGCATTTTTATGGTTTTTTCCAAATATATAACTAATCTTCCTAATATTATTAGAGTCCACCCTTTCCCCACTGATTTGATATGTTATTTTATTATTCTAAATTCCTAGAGTTATATGGGTCTACTTTAAGGTCCTCTCTTCCCATGATTTTTGATTATTCAATTTTTAAAGGTCTCAGTGTTTCCAGGTAATCTGTTCTCACACCAATATCACATTGGTTTACTTATCATAGTTCAAAGCTATAAATGATGCCCTGAAGTAATATTTGTAAATGGGTTCCAAAGATCTTCCATGCAGCATTATTTGAAGTAGCAAAACACTGGAGTCAACCCAGAGGACTATCAATGGTTTGGTAAAATAAAATGTGGTTTATCCATAATATGGAATATCATGCTAATTAAAGGAATGCCATTGTGAAAGGAATAAAACAGAATTCTATGTATGAATGGACATGAAGACATCCCATACAATTTGATTAAACACACCAAGTTGCAAAATAGTACCTATAGTGTGATAGCATATTTATGTAAAAAAACACAAAACACTATTTTATGTATTTCCATACACATTTTTTAAACAGGTACATAACTTAGAGATCTAGAATAAAATAAAGCTGATAATAATGGTTAACTGGGGAAGAGTAAGACAATTGGGGTGGTAAGAAAAGGAAACCCGAGCCTACTCTGTAGTATCTAAATTTTTTATATTACAAGGAGATCAATCAATTATATAATGAATTTATACTGAAATATACATACTTAAAATTCACAATGATTTTCTGACCTATTCTTATCCAGGAATTTCATTACAGCTGGACTTCGCAGCTAATTATCATGGTGTACAGTACACTTGGTGGGTATACCATTCAAACTGGTTTCCCTCCCTCCTTCTAAAGTCCTGTACATTCTCAAAGGCCCAGGTCAAGGTCCTTTTTCTCCTTGAGGCTTTCTCCATTTCAGGTTACCCTCCTGCTCTTGCCTTCTCTGAGCTCCTCCTATTGGCCTAACAGTCCATCTCTCTTCCTTTAGCCCTTCATCACTCTCAAGTGGCCTCCTTTAAAGGTTCTGTGCCTACCCATCTACTGCACGTTTTCCACCAGGTAGCGCCCTCCTCTGTAACCTAGCTTTCGGAAAAGAAAAAAAAAGGAAAAATATAGTGATTCCATGGGGAAAATGAAGCTGTCAAGACTGAAAAAACTTCCTTCATCTCCTCATTACAAGTGACGGGCCATCCAGGAATGCAGACTTCAAATGCTAACACTTTTATGTATGGGTGTGTCACAAATGAATGTGAACATCTCCTGAAGTCTGTTGGAATACTTAATGCACCTGTATATCAGTTACATTTATATCAATTTTTTCTTTTGGACCTTGGGACTACTTTATGTGTAACATATGTTTTTGAGTCTGAGATGAAGGAGAAATAATATAAAAGCTGCTAGCAGGCTGAATATGGTTATGATTTGCTGTTTAAATTTATATTTATCAAAATATCTTTCTAGATTGTTAGGATAAGTTATAATTTCAGAATTCAGTTCTAGTGGTAACTGCTGCTTCTGGAAAATCAGGAAAGAAACCAAGAGTATTAATTTTTTCACAATTCAAAAAAAGGTATCCACTACTTTTATTAGTGTACTAGAAGGACTGAATGAACCATAATTATTAAAGCCAACACTTATATGTCAAGCACTGCCCTGATACTCTATCTGTAATCCCCTTAACAATCCTATGAAGTAGGAACTATTACTATCTTTATATTACTTTTGAGGTAATTTAGAAATAAAGTGAGTAAGTATCTCACCTAGGATCACACAGTTAAGTGGTGGAGCTGGGATTTAAATTTAGGAAGTCTAGTATTTGCATTTAACCACTTAATTGTGCTGCATATTGGGATGCCACAAAGTAAGAAAAAATAATACATGGATGTATGGGACTAACCATCAGAGATTAACTGTAGAATCTTTTATTAAGGAATATGAGATTATACAGTCCTCTGCTTTTTGGACACTTTCTGTACTGGAAGCACTAATGGACTCAGGTCCATCCTTTGCTCTTAGAATTTAGAGTGCTTTCCCAGATATACTTATTAATCTTCAAAATACCCCTGGACAGTAAAGAATGGACAGTAACATGGAATTATCTTGTTTGAGAACTGAGGCCAGGACAAGGGAAGTACTTACCCAATATTCTGTAATCAGGATCAGATCTTCTGATCCTTATTATACAGCAAACTTAGCTTTTCTGATAGTGGCCTAAAAGGTCAAACAAGGGGACAGGAAAGAACATAAAATAAAGATATGAGATGATGGTTTACTCCTCCATCAAGGTTTGCATTTTATCGCACACAAAGGACAACAAAACTGACCAACTACATGTGTTTCTTTTTCCTCTCTTGTGGTTACATTTTCAAATTTACTTTATTGTACATTTATCCTGATTTCTGATGAAGTAATTTGTTTTGCTTTTTTAGAACTTTTTATTAATGAAAATTTCAAATAAATAAAAATGTAAAGGGAATATTACAAACCCCTAAGAATATCATCCAGCTTCCACAATTACCAACTGAAGGCCATCTTGTTTCATCCATAACCCCACCCACTGCTCCCCCCAACTCCGATTTCTTTAAATAGCTGATTTTTTTCTGTATTTTATTATGGAAAACTTCAATCATATACCAAGGAAGACATAATAATATAAGGAACTCTATATGCCCATCACTCAGCTTATACAATTATTAACTTAGGGTCAATTTTGTTTCATCTGTACCCTTTCCCTACTTTCCCCTATTGCTGAGATTATTTTGAAAAAAATATTAGTCATCAACATATTTTGAAGCCAATCCCAGACATTTTACTATTTAATCTGTATTTTCCTATATATTTCTGTAAGAAAAAGACAATTCGAAAACATAACCACAATACCATTATAACGTCTAAAAAAATCGTCATCAATTCCTTAAAAACACATCAAATAGCAAATCCATTTTCGAATTTTCTTGATGTATTTTAGGCGGGTTTTTTTTTCTGTTGTTGTATTCGAATCAGGATCCAAACAAGGCCTACTCCGCATGTGGTTCATCTCCATCCAGCTCGCTCTCCTTCTCCATCTCTTTTTACCCCTCCCCCATTTTTTAAACTTTTCAATATGGAAAATTCCAAACCCCGCTTTTTGAGGTAATTTCCTAAATAGCATACTATTCCATCAGTAAAGACTGATTTGTCTCTTATCTCTAATTTCTTCTAGGAAAGAAGCTGATGTACAGGAAAAGCACTATAATGAACGAATTTACATAATTTATGTTTTTTCTCATTCTGTTACGCGGGTTTTTCTCGCTACAATAAAACTAGTATCTTTCAGAGCTAGGCTTCCTATTAAATGCCTTATATGTAGTACACGCCTCTGAAGTAGGCGTCTCTGAGGTAGATACTTATTATTAACACCATCTTACAAACATGGAAACCGAGACACAGTAAGAACAGGAGCCAGCCCAAGCTGGGCGTTGGCGTAGGAACCCGAATTCAGCTCTGATCGTGAAGCCATTAGTTAATCTTTTCTACACACAGGCCGAAAAGAAGAAATCGTCAACCCTTACTCCCCACCCCCACCCCGAAACCTGAAACGAGAATCCAGTTCATTCCAGCAGCCGACGTGTGATCACTGCCGTCCCTCCAACAGCCATAGTAAAGCCAGGTTTCTCTGGCAACTGATATCCATAGGCAGACACGTCACCTAGGAGGCGGGATTATATTCTTCATCCAATCACAATCATCTTGTCTAAGTTTTAGAATGTTCCATAACTGAATGATTGGATGAGGCCTATCACGTCACAATGACACTTCGCCGCAGTAAAGGGGAGGTGCTAGCAACCTGCTTCTTCATGGTTAAGGCTTGAAGCAAACCAATCGTCTTTCTTCTTCAGTGTGGGCTCTGGCCAATGACACTTGTTCTCTTAGGATCTTATCCCGCCCCCCAAAAGCGCGACAGTCGTTGGGTCATAAGTCTATAGGGCAGGGTGTTCACGTGGCCTATTTTTACGACCCAGAGTTCCCCTGACCAGAGGTTCTTTTTTTTTTTCCTGCAGGGAGGCATTATGGGTTCCCCCCAACCCCGCACTGGGAAAGGAAGTGTCTACGTGGCCTACAGAAACAGGGTGGGCGGAAATGAGCTAAGTTCCCCGAGAGTTGGGAAGCAGGAGGTCAAATCTGAGGCCAGACCCTTGAACTACTTGCGCAACTCTTGAAGAAAAATAAAGTCGGAGTAGGAGTTTTGATGTGTGTGTGAGTGGGAGTGCCGGGTGCTTTGGGCACGTGGAGGTGGGGCCGAGGGTGTGCGCGTGCGAGCTTGCGTGGCCTTGGGGTTGGGAGGTGTGCACCCGGGCGCGCGCACTCGCCCTCTAGGCACTGGAGGCTGTGGGTGTGCGCGCGCGCGCACTATGGGGAGTATTCTGTGCTTTTATGTTTGGTATTCTAATGGAAAGAAAAATAAGCAAAGGTGATCATTCCAGAAATAATGGGCCTTTAGTAGAAATATTTCCATCTCCCCTACTAATTTAATCTTAGACTCCGAGAATACAGTTTCTTCCCACGTTCTTCCCCATGCCACAATGCTGTACTAAAGCCATTGCCTTCCGATGGTTAAGAGCCAAACCCTCGCATTCACATATTAGCAATTCAAGGAGCAACTTCTTTCCTGTTCCCTACTATCTTTCTTCCCCTTCCTTTCTACCCTGCCCCCCCCCCTCGCTTGGCCTTCCTGCAAAGTTGTGAGCAATTCTGGCACAAACAGAATTTTGTGCTCAGAATATCTCTATATGACAGCCTTTCACTCAACTGTAGTCTCCGAATTCCTGTGGGGCTAAAGCTATCCTACTTTTTTGTCCTCATCTTTAAGCACAGTGCCTTTCAGACAACTACGCACTCAGTCAATTTTCCAGAAAGTTCTGAGTGAGGTTTATACCTCTTAAGTCAGCCACCAGATGCCGCCATATCCCAGCAAAGGATTGGCTGTTGGGCTCCCTGGAATGATGGGATTTTTCTCCCCTCTTCTATTTGCCAAATTCTCCAATGTATATATCTATATATATATATATCTATATGTATATCTATAATCTTTCATTGCTATTGAAAATGAAATTAACTCTATAAATAGCTGTACCAAGCATCAGGGGACTATGCCCTAGATCCAAATGTTTGTCCTGGTTTCTTAAGAAAAAAAGAACCCTGCCTCCACCCCTCTTCCTTCTGCCTTGCCTTTTTTTGGGGTGGGGGGAGTGGTGGTGGTGGTGTGATCAGAACTGATGAATGACCCCAGGCACTGATGCTAATGAGAATCTTAACCCTTTCTGTGCAGCTTTCCAAATGCTCACCACCCCCCCTCCAACAAAAAAATGAAAAATACAGATGACTGATCCCTAAAAGCAGATAAGAATTTGGACCCTGGTATTGAAAACTGATTTTTTTCCTCTTAAAATTTTATTAGATATGTGTTTACACCCTATTTCCTGTAGTGATATTGCTAAACTTTATTATGTCTTTGGAATCAGGTACTGGGTTTTAAATGCCATTGCACCACTTATAAGCTCTGACATCCTGGGCAAGTGATTTATGTTCTGTGATTCTTAGTTTTTTTGCATGCTTTATACATTTTAGGTGCTGTGTCATTTTGTTGTTACAAAATCCTTATTAGATAGGTACTAATAAAATTAAATGACAAAAGTTATATCTCAGTTATCAATTATATATGCCCGTGTGCGTGTGTACAAACACACTGGGGAGGGGCGTGGGAATTAGAGCAGTGGTACTTAAAGTGTGTTTTTCAGACACCTCAGTAGCATCATCGTCAATTTTCAGGAAGTTGTCAGATTCAGATTCTTAGGCCCTACCTCGAAAGAAATTCTAGGGGTAAGGTTTGGCCATGCTTAAACAAATTGTTCTGGTGATTCTAATGCACACTGGGGTTAGAACCACTGCTTTGAAGGGCAGACATACAAGGCTTATCTTTTTTACTCCACTAGAGGGTGCAACAGAATTTAAAGCAAAGTAAAAGATGTATGAGATTTGTCCAGAATGTGTCCAGCCATGTTCTATGAAAAATACAGACATTTATTGAAGAAGATACAAGAAATACTGTACATAGGAAAATAATGCCTCATTCTTCTTCAAAGTAGGCACCTTGAGATCTCACACACTTCTCCCAATCACTGTCAGCTGCCCCATCATATTTTCCTGAATCCCATCGATGGTCTCAAATCTCTTCCCTTTCAAAGGTGATTTTAGTTTTGGGAAAATCTAGAAGTCATGGGGTGCAAAACCTGGGCTGTGGGGGTACTGAGTCACCTGGGTGATTTGATGTTTTGTCAAAAAACTTCATGGCATGTTAACACATGAGCCATCACATTTTCATGATGAAGCTGTCAATCACCAGTTGCCCATAGCTGTGGCCTTCTGAATCATCCAAGTAGTTCCTGCGGATGGATGTTCAAGCACAATGTAGAATTTGATGCAGATTCATTGCTCTAACTCACTCGGTCATTTTGAATGTGATGGTCACACAGTACATATGCTCACTCAACAGCATCTCCCGCCCCTAGTGATTAGTACAGTGAAGTCATCACTGTTCATGTAGGTACATTCCAGTCCACTCTCCTTGGCTGCCAGGTTACATCAATGTTGTACAAACCATTCTCTTTATATGGCTAGACTTTTTCTGGACAGACTTCGTGTATGGTTTATTGAGACATCCTACATATTGTCAGTCCTCTTTATACAGATTAAAAAGTAATGTGTAGAGGTGTCTATTTTCTCAGTGCATACATACAGGTATGGACACCAGGATATGAATTGTACCTGCATCTAGAGTGCAAGTCCTTGACAGTACTGTTGTTCAGCAACAGTAGCTTATCATTCTGGGCATCAAAATACATTGCAGATAGCTTGTTCCCTGATTTGGCTAATGTTGACTAGAGTGTGAAGAAGAGGGCAGGAAAGCAAACTAAATAAATGGAAATATTTTGATGGTTTCATTCCCTCCCTCATCTCCATTCTATATTGCTCTTTCTATCCTGCAGTTATTTTTTTAGTTTATGTCTGAACCTCTTGTATGTTTGTGGGGATATTTAGAGTGGTGAGGAAATAGTTTTTGGAAACCTGTTTGTTATGGGCCACATTCTATATGGCTCTACACCCATTAATCCCAACAGTGGGCTTGTAAATTAGGTGACAATTATAATTTTGTACATGATGAAAATGGATTCCAGAGGCTATAATTATTTCTCTTTGGTCATATAACTTGTAAGTAGTGGAGCCTGGATAATTCCTGATATACCAGACAATACTACCCTGCTAAACTTTCTACTGCTTGGTTTTGAATCTGGTTTAGTAGCTTACTATTTATGTGACTTTCAGCAAGTTATTTTTATGTTTCCCAAGCCTTAGTCACTGTATATTAAGTGAGAATAATTATTCTTCCTTTATAGTCTCAGAGCTGCAGTATTCAATATGGTAGCCACTAGACATGTGCTTAATTAAAATGAAAAATTCAGTTCTTCAGTCACACAAACCACATTTCAAGGGCTCAGCAGCTACTTGTGGCTAGTTTTAGTATTGTTGGGGGCCAAGGCAGGCCTCCCAAGATATCCCACAATGACATTGATTATGAAGAATTAAAATCACTTGAGAAGCAGCAGAAGCGGGAGGAGGTCTCTGTCTCTCCTCTGTCTCTCTAAAAGCAGGAAATAAATCTCCATTTGATAGGTGCCCTGCACCTGAGGAGTAAGAGACAATGTTATCACAGAGGTGTAAAATCCAGAGTCAAAAAAGCCTATATAAACAAACCTTGTAAAGGTTTTATTAATTTACTACCTAAGCCCAAACCTTGCTTACATTCCTTTCTAATGAGCACTAACTTTGTCCTGTTAATTGTTCACAGTTGCTTCTTTATCTAAAAAAGTATAAAGGTGCCTACTTTGATTGTTTTTTTGAGGGTCATTTTATGATCTGAGCATCATAATGTGATTCTCCCAAGTGCGTGTATTAAATTGTTTTTTCTTTGTTAATCTAGTCTCATGTCAATTTTATTATTTTATTTTATTACTGGTCCAGCTCTGAGCACTAAAGAAGGGTAAAAGTGGGTAATTCTTCCCTTCCCCAACAATACTGTATTAGATACCAATAGATACAGAACACTCCTATGATTACAGAAAATTCTAAGGGACAGTGCTGATTTAAATATGTAAGCTATAGAAAAGGTCCAAAGCATTGTGCATATTAACGGCAAGTGCCCAAGAAAAGTGATTTCCTGTTTTTTTCCTTTCATCATCAGAGCTAAGCATGTTCTCTTGTTTTATTATTGAGGGGGTCAGGAGATGGAACTTACTCAATATACTGTAACAGGGGATGTGTCTGGCATTAGGACCCACTCTGAGACCCACATCTGACTTTTGATCCTATATTCAATTTAGTAGACTCATCCTTATGCTTTACTGAGTGACGTGTCAAAGCCAAGGGTGTTAATAATGTGAATTAACTTTGGAGTCAGGGTAGTAGCAGAAAAAGACATAAAAACTGAACGCATTCTGTATGCCAGGCAACACTGTGCTCAGCTCTTTATGTCTATTGTCTTAGTGAATCCTCTGAAACCCAGAGGAGTTCAATACTCCAAGTTGCTAGCTGGTAAATATCAGAACAAAGATTCTGACTTTACTCAGCCTCCAAAGCCCATGTTTTTCCCATTATGCCATGCTACCCTCACACATGTGAATACCCTTGTGTCCCTTCCACTTACTAATGGGCTAAAGTTTCAGCACATTCCTGACTCTAAGTGGGTCCTCAGAAAATGGGAGTTACTGTTCTTTTGGAAATTACAGCTGATCCACTGCCTTTACAATGTTTCAAGTGGAAGGGAAAGATTGCTTAGGTCAATGTTACTTTGGCTTCAAGGCCCAAAGCTAGTCAAAGACTCAATGGTTCCAGCCTTCACAGAATACCCAATGGCTCCAAGGTCTTTCTGTTAATTTTCAAGGCCACCATTTACTTGTACAATGCCTTTGTGGTGACAAGAAACATGTGCCACTTGGGGGAAGAGAATTTGTAAATAAGTGTCCACTCAAATGGAACAATGAGAAAAATCCTTTTCTTTCTCAGGGATCTTAGAGCTTCATCAGGACAGGTGAAGACTGGATTTCAGTCTTCAGTTGTTCCCTCTCAGTTGGGTAAACTTGTACAGGGTGCAACATGCCCTGCCTAACAGTATCTTCTGGCCTTGCTTATCTTGTGGCTAAGAGAGTCTTCCTAGGTCTGGTAAGCAGTAGTCAGCCTGTTCTAGAGGATGGAGAGGGACATTAGTGTCCTTACATGGCTTCTGGGTATTAGATAAAACTGATCCATTATAAGGTCAATTTGATATTTTTCATTTGGTTCTGATTAATTTATTGGATGATTTTTAAAAGAATATTTGGTTATTTTAAAAGTTAAAAATCCTAAACTTTCAAGGCTAAGCAAAATGCTATTTCTTTAGTAACTGTTTTTATCTCCATTTATACCTGCCTCATTCCATAAGGATATCATAGGGGAAAAGATGGAAATACTCATGTGAAAGTTTTATATCCTTTTAGGGGTATCTGTTCTCTTCTAGCTCTTTCTCCACGTGTAATCAACCCCCCTCTCACCCTTCTCCAACTGACCCACCTTCAAATAGTTTACTTCAAATCACTGGGAACCTTAATCTAATGAATGTAGTCCTTGAGTGACCTTTGGATGCCAGACTTGCACATAATCCCTTGGTTTCCCCTTCCTGAGGCAGTAGTTTAGTATTAAATTTACCAAATTTTGTGATTTTGTCAGTCACAGACTTCACTTGGAATGATCATGTCAAATTACCCGGGCTAATCATCAACCAACAGAGATGAGGACTGATTTCTACCAGTCTATGCTGACTCCTGCAATCCGAACATTGCCTAAGAGGATGCCTTAAGCCAGTTCTCCACAGGTAACTTTTTTTTATGCTTGTATACCCTGCATCCAAAGTTCCTATTTTACTGGAAATGATAAAAGCTGTATCTTTTGAAGATTTTAACTGTAATTATTCAAGAGGACACATCGGGAGCTTAATGATAAATATGTGGAGAGTTCTTCCTATTTTGTGTATTTTTTTAAGGTTTCCATAATAAAATATTTAGAAAAGACAAAATATTTAAAAGTGCTTCATCATTCCTGGGGAGAAGAATGCACATGTGTTTCTCTTTAGAAGAGCACTTATTAACAAAGAGGTTAGGTGGAATGCACACCTCTTTATTAGGAATATACCATGGAAAATCTGAGAAGGGAGGTGTTTTAGAATGAAAAATTCTCTGTGCCCAAAATTCTGATAAGGTCTCTTAGAAGGGGAATTGCCTCCAGCTTGTAGTCCCCCTTCACCATACTCCCTGTGGAAGCCTTGCTGTTTTCAACATAAGAAACATTCAAACCTGTAGAGAATGTTTTGTGTTTATTTGAGCCAAACTAATGACAAGTGCCGGGAAGCAAAACCTCAACAAGTTGAGAAACTGCTCCAGAAAATGGTAGTTTTGCACTTTATTTTATATATTACAATCAAAGGAGCAAGGTGTAAGGGAATTACATGAAATTCATTGATGATAGATTAGGAAGGCAGGAGAAAGCCAAGGGAGGAAGCCATCTATGGGGCTGGATAAAAGTAAAATGGTAGACACATTTTGCTTTACATAGGTCCACAATTAACATGATAACAATAACTATGGGGTTATTTCTGCTCTCAGGTGCCTGTGCTTGTGAGGGATCTGGAAAAAGGGAAATCACTTTGTTATTGCTTTTGCAAGTATGTTATCCTAGATGCAAAAAGACTACAAACAGGCTCAATTAAGGTAAAGACCTTTGTTAGGGAAAAATACTGCCCTAGTACATGACTACCCATCATGAACTGCTTTTAGTTAGAAAATCTTTAATTTCAGAGTGTACTAAATGGTTACTTTCTGTCTCTGAGTTTGTAAGGCTCCACACTGGCCTCCCCTGAGCTTGTGAGGTTAATATGTGGCCCCTTTTCTTCCACACTGTAGTGAACCACTGATAGTGAAAGGTATATCATATTCCTTGGGAGTTGGAGGAGGTTGAAAACCATGGAAACAGGCCTCAGTGAACTGGGGAAAACTGTGTTAGCCAGCAGGCAGAGAAAAAGGCAAAGGAAACCTGGGGACAAGAAGTTAGTAGCATAACAGGACTTCTTTCTCACTACAGGTGAGTGCTAGAGGGAGCAGAGCTTCTGAGGAAGAAGGAGACCAGGAAACAGAATGTGGCAAAGAAGTCCTCACTTGGGATCTCAAAAGATATTCTTTGGAGGCCTCACAACCCATCTGATTTGCAGGCTTTAAAATTTTAAGGCAAAGATTACACACACACACACACACACACACACACACATGCCACAGTCCTCCACAAAGTACACATTGAAAACTCATTTGATCCTTTTCTGTGATGTTTTTACTGTTTGACTGGGCAAATCGGGGTGTTGATACTCTGCTGAAAGTGAGAAGATATGGTTGGAGAGGTGGGGAATTGCTGAGGGTGTGGGGAACTAGGAGGGCATGTTCTTGCAGGGCCCTGAGGTTGAGGTAACATGGTTAGAAACTGAGGATAGAGAAGTGAGCCAGGACGGTTCCTAAAAGGTACAAAGCTGAGATTCACCCAGCAGCTCCCAGGCCAGAGTTGTGGGTAGGATGTCAGTGAAACCCAGGGGGGTATAGCCAGCTTTCAATAGAGCTGGTCTGTGAAACTTGGCTGAGAGGACAGAGGAAGATTGATGTTTGCTCCAGAGTGAGGCTGTCAGCTGTGCTCACCACCTCACCATGGTCCCAGCTGTAAACAAAAGTCCTGGCCCTTCATGGCACTGTGGAGCAGTCCAGGCTGGTGTAAGTCTCTGAGGACAGATAGACCATTTTTTCATCTGAGCTGACAACCAGAAGATAGAAGAAACAATAGAAGGTGGTGGTGGTGGTGGCGTTGGGAGGGATGCAGGATTGTAAGGGAGTGAGAAGCAGTGACCGGTGAGAAGGAGCTATTGACTTCCAGTCTTAGAACTTTAGATGCAAGAAGTAGAATCTTTTAGGGAAAGCGCCCCCTTTCCTTGTCATCTTCACAGGTTATCGTGAAATACTAAAGGAGGCCTTCCGGGACTCTAGTGCCTCATTCATTTGTTTATTCAATGTGTACCTTACTTACTGATCAATGCCTGTCACTGTGCTGGGTACCGTAGTGATGCCAAAGTAATTGAAGACAGTTTATAAATTCAAGGAGCTTGTAAGGTGTTTGGGTATATGTGTCCAGTTAAGTAACAACACTTTAAATGCTAAATGACAAATATGAATTAGGAATCTAGAAACAAGAGAAACCATATCTGGGTCTCATCAGAAAAGGCAGGATTTCAGAGGGCCTTAGAAAGGTAGACATGATTTGGTTAGGAGTTAAAGGCATTCAGCATTCCAGGTTGTCACTAAAGTATTAGTAAAAGTGAGAACTGCTTTGGCTAAAGCAGGGCATAGTGCCAGAGACTCTCTTCAACTTCTCACACCCTCAAACTTCTCACTGTGGCTAACCCAGCCATCACCTGACTCAGTACCCTTGCTTACTACTATGTTCCCCTAACACCTATTACTTTCCCTCTTTTAAACCTTCATCCTTTCACCCAATGACCTGCTCTTGTCTCCCTACAATTTGTTTTCCACACTACTAAGAATGTTCTTGGCAAAATGCAAATCTGTTACACCACTTCCCTCTTTAAAACTCTCTTATCCCTAACCCCTTCATTTTTTTTTTTTTGCTTCCCTTTATATCCTTCCTGCTTACCTTCCTCTTGCTTTTTGTTCAGGTCATATCTTAAATATTTCTGTTTCAGGGAACCCTTGCATAACATCTCCTCCCCCAACTTGTACCACAACTAAGTCAAGTACCCTTCATATATTTTCACAATACTTCCACATTTTCTCCATTTTACTATTTTCCAATAACTTAGTCCAAATTTGTCTTCATCATAAGAATATAAGCCCTATGAGGCAGCAGCTGTGTTTGCTCTTCATCGTGTTGCCCTTGTATTTAGTATAGTACCTGGCATATTTTAGTATGTGAGATAAGGCAATATTGGTAGGTGAAAACCAGCCTGAAGAGATTGTTTTTACATCTATGGGCAAAGAGAAACCTTTAAAAGTTTTTGATTATGGGATGAAGAGATCTTTAGACAACACTGACTTTTGAAAAAACAAAAACTACTCAGTCATAACACAGAGAACTCCAACCTCAGCTTATCTCAAATCCTAGCTTTCCAGTTATCATATAGACTCACGTTCTCTCCTTATCTATTCCTCTCGCCACTACCCCCCAAAAAAAACACTCATTGATTTTTGTAATCAGACAGATTTGACAGTATGGCCAAATGCACTTATTTCTACATGTGCAGTTGTTCATTCAGCAGGCATTTATTGCCTACCTCCCTCGTTTCAAATGTGCTCCTATCCACAGATGAAGATCTTTTTTCCCTGCCTTAATAGAGTTCACAATTGAAGGAACCTCTCTTATTAATCGTTCACTTGATGGCTTCACACTTTTGGTGAAAGGCTTTGCCTTATCTGGACTTAATTGGGGGAGACTTTGCAAGGCACTAAGAGCCTGAAAATTATCTAAATCTCAGGAGTAGATTCTCTGTAAAACTGAGAACTCAGTGAGACTCAGAGCATGGATGCTTGTGCCAATCCACTAGACTTTTACTCTTCTACGAGGAGGCTAACTGGCAGGGTGGAGATTGGAAGGGTGTTCAGGCAGTAGCCATTCCTTAACCTTATGAGCCTGGGCCTAATAAGGTAAATTGACCTCCAAGGTTCACACCTGAGCAAAGCAGAATGGAGGCGCTCCAGGAATGACAGGAGTGTAATCTAAATCTAAAAGGAATTAGATTTTCCGGTAAATTTGAGGAGCTATCCTGCCCCCTGAGGGGAGGTTGAAATAAAAATGTGGCTCCAAGAACCCTTTCAAAGATAATCAGAGAGCACCCGCCTTCATCCATGGGTAGACATTAATGCCAGGGGATGGTTTCTTTTCATCTTAGATTCAGATCCCAGATGGTTAGGAAGATAGCAATTGAGGATATCAGAGAGGCAGCACTCCCCTCCCCCTCCCCCTCCCCCTCCCCAAGGAAGGGTAAAGGGAAGAAATGGGTACTGCAGTCCTAGCTGGTTATCTCTTGGATGAGGGATAACATCAAACATGGTATCAGTAACACTTTAAAGGTATATTCATTAGTTTTGACCCCCTCTCTCCCCTGAATCCTTTACCTTGAACATGAATCCATCACCCGGATATTAGGGAGAAAGATTACCTAATAGTAGATAAACAAGAATGAGATTAATTTTTATGATTAATTGCTCTACTCTGTTAGGCAGCTTTGGGTTAAGAGGGTTCATTTACCTGGGGTTTGAAATCCTGAGAGATGGGACAGGAAGGGTTAACTCCCAAATCAGTGAAGTATATTGATAATAATGTGTTAATGAGAAGCCACATCGTGTCCTTCCTTAAAGGAACAACCTGAAGCTTAAGCCAATCAAACTGTGATAACAGCTTATGTTTCTATTAGGGAAGGGCTAAAAGAAGTATAAGTCTAAGGGATTCACAAATAAATTTACAAAGGAACTCTGGAGAATTTGAATTTAGAGCTTGACATGAGCATTTCACACCTGTAATATAACTGTTGCCAAGATTTCAGCTATTGTCTTTTATGGGGACTGTGCACATCTAATATGGGTATCAGCCAACAGATTAACATGGCAAAGTTTGGGGGCTAAATGATCATCACAGGAATAGTTTTCTCAGCTACAGCCTTGAATCTGCCACAATCTGATGTCAGAGCAGTCTCAGAAGTGAGCCTTTGTAGCTAATATTATGAGATATTATGGATGGTTTTTCACTTTATATGTTATTCTTTCCCTTCACTGCTTCAACTAAGTTGCAAAAATAAGGGAGTTACACCTAGGGCCTGGGTTTGACCCAACTTTGTCCCCAGTTTCCACATATTATCTGATGAGCAGAACAGACTAAAGTATCTGGGAAGGCCCTTCCAGCTCTGTTGAGCCAGGTTTCAGAACTGTAATTGTGATCGCGATTGTGATTGTGATCCATTGACCCAGTTGTCTTATGGGAATCCCATAAGAGATTAGTTTTCTAAAAGAGCCAATTGTTTGTTTCTCTGTACAGTCAAGATAGTAAATGTTCTGCCCTGACCAAAGCTCCCAAGCAGTCTTGGCCTTGGATGTCAGGGATTTATAACAATGATTCTCACTGCCTGAAGTAGTTAAGGATTAGTGTTAAATTGTGGACTGAAAAGTCAGCAAGGCATTGTTAATAATAATAAGGGGAGGAATGCTGATAGGGTTGAAGACTTATGTAAGTTGATAATTTGAAGAGGAACTTCAGATTCCTTAATCATGATAGCACTTCATTTTGGCCTATTTTCAAAAAACAAGGTCTTTCTCTAGTATTACCCAAATAATATAGTTGTAATACTCGTTGACCTGATATATGGAGTACCTCTGAAAGTTGTAGGTAATGCAGTATTTCTTCAAAATTTTAAAGCTCTCCCTTTGTTCCACCCCACCTCAAGCAAAATATTATGGTGAAGTAAACAAATCAGCTTAAAGTAGAGTTATTCTACCTGAAAGGTGCATAGTGTATGTGTGTGTGTGTATGTTGGAGGTGGCTGCCTGTTCTAGGATTCATTGAAGCTGATTTTGAAAATCCCTTGCCCAGTAGATTAGGCATTGAACTGAGAAACAGGAAACTTGGGTTTTGGTTTTGCCACTGTCACTAACTCATTGTGAGACTTGGATATGTTACTTGGCTCCTCTGAGCCTCATTGACTCATCTCCTGCATGGATACATGGTTCTTTTACTTCTAAGATTTGCTTTGAACATGACATATCACTTAAGTGCTTTGAAAAGGAAAAGATTACAAGGGTGCTTGTTACCTTCATATTATAGTGTCTCATAACACAACCCTTGCAAAGTAAATATAGTTAGCGAGAACTAATGCTGTAATTGGGTGGTTAAATTTTTTGAAGAACTACAGTACTCATCAATTAAAAAATCATCTGGCAAACACTAATTCACTTCATGCTATGAACTTGATATGGGGAATTCAAAGGTAAATGTATTATAATCCTTGACCTTGACTCATGTTTATATGTTAGGGAAAGAGACAAAAGAACACTAGATAATCTTACAAGTACACATACAGAGCTACATATAGGACATGACTGGAGAACCCAAATTTATCTGGCTATTGGGGTGACAAGGATTTGAGAAAAACTCACAGAAAGTGTAATATTTGGTTAGAGTCTTGACAGATGAATGGAGTGGAAACAGCCAGAGGAGGGTATTTAAAAGCTAGGGAACA